CGCCGCCTGCCGCTGCTGCAGCTGCCGCTTCACTTGCAGCAGCAGCTGCTGCTTCTTGCTGCCCTCAGCAGCTGCTGTCGCCGCATCTTCCCGCTGCAGTTGCTGCTGCAGCTGCTGCAGCTGCTGCAACTGCTGCCAATCCCTTTCTGCTGCAGTCGATGCGCCGGCCTCCATGAGGCCCCGGTTGCTGCTGCTGCTGCTGCTATTGCTGCTGTTGCTGCTGCTGTTGTTGCTGCTGCGTTTTATCCTTTCTGCTGCTGTTGCTGCTGCCCAGTTTGCTGCTGCTTCTTTGTGAGGACCCCTCAGCAGCAGCAGCGCCTCCCGGGCCCCCCCTGCTGCAGCTCAGGTTAGCAGCGGGGCCTCAAGCAGCAGCAGCAAATACCCTAATGATAACTGCATGCATCTCCTATTCATCTTTTCTTATAAACTATCGATCTAATTACTTCAAATGGCTTCTGGGGGCCCCCTAGGGAGGCCTCAGGGTACAGGGGGGCCCCCCTGTAGGGGCCCCCTATGGGGGCCCCCCAAAGGGGGCCCCCCTGTAGGGGCCCCCATAGATGTTTGAATAAAGAGAGTATTTTATTTTGTTTAAGATTCTAGTTTGTTAATGAGAGCTGCTGCTACTGCTGCTGCTGTTGTTGCTGTTGCTGCTGCTGCAGCAGCTGCAGCAGCAACAGCAAGCCGTTCGTAGGGACATTTTTGTTCAGTTTCTCTCGTTGCTTCGGTGCATGCAGCAGCAGCTGCTGTAGTAGCGACAATAACAGCAGCAGCAGCTGATGCTGCAGCAGCAGCTGATGCAGCAGCAAAGCAAGCAGCAATAACAACACGTAGCAGGCAGCAGTTAAAGAGACTCTGTCCTCTAGAAGCAACTGCTCTCTAAACCCTAAACCCTAAACCCTAAACCCTAACTCTGGCTCTAAGCCCTAACCCCAAGCCCTAGCCTCAAACCCTAAACCCTAACACATCGCCTAAACCCTAAACCCTAAACTTCACTCTTAACCCACAAGCCAAGCCCTCAGCTGTAAGCGTTAGGCTCAGACTCTGTATCACGCTGTAAACCCTAAACCCTAAACCCTAAACCCTAAACCCTAAACCCTTAGGAAGTTTGGGGCCTGGAGACTGCATGAGTCTCTTTAAGAGACAGAGCGAAGAAAGGGATTAGGGTTTAGGGTTTGTTTGACCAATAAACAAAACTCTGTTTATATATTTATATATTTATATATATTATATATTTTATTTATTTATTTATTTATTTATTTATTTATTTATTTGTTTATTCTTCTTTCAGAACACATACACCATATTGTAGCAGAGCGTCCACGACAGAACAAATGTCTGCAGCAAACAGCAACAGCAGCAGCAGCAGCAGCAGCAGCAGCAGCAGCAGCAGCAATAGCAGCAGCAACAGCAGCAGCAGCAGCAAGAGTAAGAAGGGTATGAAGCAAAGGCATTTAAATACAAAAGGAGAATCAGAGGGAGGGGGAGACAGAGACAAACAAAGACGAAAAAATAAATAATATAAAGAGACAAACAAAGAGACAGCAAAATGAAGAGAAAAGTTAGAGGAACAAGATAAAGAAGAGACAAAGATAAAAATAAATAAATAAATAAATAAATAAATAAATAAATAAATAAATAAATAAAAGGGTACTCACCAACAAGCCCGAAAAGAGGCTGCTCGTAAAAGGCTCTGAAGATTGCTGAAAATAATTATTTAGAGGCTTTCTTGTCTCCGCGACGAACACCAAAGGGCCCATCACAGTCAGCAGCAGATACACCCCAAACCCTACACACAAACCCTAAACCCTAAACCCTAAACCCTAAACCCTAATGTAAAGGGCACATCACAGTCAGCACCAGATACACCCCAAACCCTATATACAAACCCTAAACCCTAAACCCTAAACCCTAAACCCTAACCCAAAGGACCCATTACAGTCAGCAGCAGATACACCCCAAACCCTACACACCAATCCTAAACCCTAAACCCTAAACCCTAAACCCTAATGCCTGGAGCATATGGTTGTTCATAGACAGGCCACAAGAAATGCGCAGCCTTGTAGCTGATGTCTACACTTTAAGCGAAAGGGTTCCCCTTTAAGATTTAGGGTTTGTTGCCTTTTAGGGTTTAGGGTTTAGGGTTTAGGGTCCAAAGTTTAAGGCCTTCAACTTAGCTTAAAGGGCTTAGGGTTTAGGGTTTTCAATTAAGGGTCTACAGTTGAGGGCCTAACGTCTTCAATTTAGACTTAAGGGTTTAGGGCTTTCCTCTAAGGGTTTAGGGTTTAGGGTTTAGGGTTTAGGGTTTAGGGTTTAGGGTTTAGGGTTTAGGGTTTAGGGTTTACCCCAGAGGTTCTCGAGGCCGCAAATACCCGCGAGGGCTCCCGCGAGGACTGCAGTCATATGACGACTGAAAAGAACAAAGAAAGACAAAAAAATTAAGATAATAACTTAAAGGTTTTATAAAGATATTAAAAAAAGTATTAAAAAGAGACAAACAAAAACACAAAAAAGAAACTAAAATAATATTAAAATAATGTTAAAAGGAGGTTTAAAAAGGAGACAAAAAGGAGACAAAAAGGAGACAAAAAGAATGTTAAAAGGAGACAGAAGAAAATATTATTAACAGAGATATTAACAGAGATATTAAAAGAGATATTTAAAAAGAAATTAAAAGAGATAATAAACGACATACTAAGGAGACAAAAATAAATAAAAAGGAGACAAAGAGAGAGATAAAGGAGACGAAAAGGAGACAAAAAGAGACAGCAAAGGAGACACCGCAACAGACATTTAAAGACATCAAAAGAAATATCAAAAGAAATATTAAAAGAGATATTAACAGAGATATTAACAGAAATATTAACAGAGATATTAACAGAGATATTAACAGATACTAACAGAGATATCAAGGAGACAGAAAGAGAGACAAAAAAGAAGAGGAGACAAAAGGAGACAAAAGGAGACAGAAAGAGACAGAAAGAGACAAAGAGAGACAAAGAGAGATAAAAATAAAATAAAAAGATAAAGAAATTAAATAAAGACAAAGATGAAACAAACAGACGCAAAAGGAGACAGCATGAAGAGACAAAGAGAGACAAAAGGAGACAGCATAAAGAGACAAAAGGAGACAAAAGGAGACAGCATAAAGAGACAAAGACAAAGAGAGACAAAAGGAGACAGCATAAAGAGACAAAAGGAGACAAAAGGAGACAGAAGGAGACAGCATCAAGAGACAAAAAAAGAGAGAGAGCCCTGACTTAAGCTGCAGTTGTCTTGCGTTGTGTGCTACATGCTCTGACACCAGCCCTCCAAAGGGGCCTCTAAACTCGGGTACTGCTGCTGCTGTTGCTGCTGCTGCTGCTGCACCTGCAGGGGCCCCCACCAGGCCCATAGGGGAGGCCCCTGCTGCAGGCTGGCCTATCATCTCCCCTGCGCTTTCTCCTGCTGCTGCTGCTGTTGTTGCTGCTGCTGTTGCTGCTGCTGTTGTTGCGGTTGCCGTTGCTGCTGCTTTTGTTGCTGTTGCTGCTGCTGCTGCTGTTGCTGCTGCTTGTGCTAAACCTGCGGTGACGGCTCTAGCAGCAAATGCTGCTGCTGGAGACGTTGCTGCTGCTGCTGCTCCTGCTGCTAGAGGGAGGCGTACTGGTCCGCGCAGTCTGCGAAAGCGAGCAGCAGCTGCTGCCGCAGCAACAGCAGCAACAGCAGCAGCAACAGCAGCAGCAGCGGCTGCTTCGTCCTATAGGAGGAGATCAAGGACGTAAATAAAAACAAAATTAATATTGTAACAGTTATAATATAAAAAGACAAAAGGCTGAGACAGAGACTCTTTGCTTAAAGTGGTGGGCCCCCAGCCAGATCTTCAATGGGGGCCCCCTGAAGTGTGTGAGCCCCAAACCCTAAACCCTAAACCCTAAACCCTAAACCCTAAACTCTAAACCCTAAACTCTAGATACTATAATATACAGCACAAACTCTCCTTTTCTAACTGTCTTTCAGCAAAAGTACTTCATTATTCTCTTGTTTTTTGCTGCTGCTGCTGCGGTGTGCTGGGGGCCCCCCATGTGCCTCAGATGATGCAGTGGGGCCCCTCGAGAGCCGCAGCAGCAGCAGCAGCAGCAGCGGCAGTTACCCTGCCGTCGCTGCTGCTGCTGCTGCTGCTGCTGCTGGTAGGGGGCCCCCAGCCTTCTTCCGCTGTAAGGGCCCCCTACAGCAACAGAAACTCAATACCGCTCTATCATCCACGGGGGGCCCCCCTTGCCTTTGTCTTGGGGCCCCTAACCTGCAGCAGCTTCTATCCCCGCCACAGCTGCAGCGAGCTGCAGCAGCAGCAGCAGCAGCAGCAGCGGCAGCGGCAGCACTACGTGAAGGCAGCAACGGCAACAGCAGCAGCAGCAGCAGCAGCGGCAGCATCAGGAGAAGAAGGGAGGGCCCCTGAGGGGCCCCCCGAAGTGTCTCTCTCTGAAGCCTTAGATACTGCAGCAGCAGAACATGTTAAACAGTCAATTGCTGCTGCTGCTGCAGGTGGAGATGGCATTGTAAGGATAAGCTCTAAGACAGAAGACGAAACAGCAGCAGAAGCAGCAGCACATGCTGCTGCTGCTGCTGCAGGAGATGCAGCAGCAACACCAGAGGCCCTAATGAGATCAGCCAGGACCTTCGATGCTGCGAACCCTCATAGCTGGCCTCGAGGCCCAGCTAGGGGCCCCCTGGGGGCCCCCCATAGTGGGGGCCCCTTGGGGGCCCCCTATGGGGGGGGCCCCTATGGGGGGGCCCCCTATGGGGGGGGCCCCTTGGGGGGCCCCCGTAGTGGGGGCCCCCTCCCTAATATGATGGGGGGCCCCCCGGGGGCCCCCCCAATTAAGCCTGGGGGCCCCCTTGAAGCTTTAGCAGTTTGTATGGAGAAGGGTTTAGAGAGAGGGGCCTCTTGGCTGAGGAGGTGGAAGCAAAATGAAGAACGAGTGCTGCCAGTGCTGCTGTCAAGGCTCGAAGAAAATGCTGCAATC